TATGATTACCAGGAGCACAACCTACCCCCCCCCTCCTCTCTCCGTGAATATTCCTTTCTAGATCTCTTTTAAAATCACGTCTGGAAATAAGTTAAGTTATTATATAATTACGTACTACAGGTGACTTATAAAATATTCATGATATACAAATGAGTTACAATCATACTTCTACAATTGAGCATTTTGATTCAGTAATTATTTTATTAAGTTTTGTTATGTTTTTCTCGCTGCTCTGGGTCTTCCGTCGGGATCCTAATTTGCGTCCCATACAACTCGATTTGAATTTCCTCGAGACTTCTGCCATTCGTTTCTGGCACCATCACAGAAACAAATATGGTTCCGATTAAACTTATCATGCCGAATATAGCGAATGACGAGGAGATTCCCATGAGATTCACTATGTCCTGAAAGCACTTTGTCACGAGAAAGGCCAACGTCCAGTTACACATCACGGCAGTATTTGCCACGCTCTTCACATTGTTTGTGAACAACTCACCGACCATCAACCATGGTACGGGAGCAAAGCCGATACTGAAAATTACGATGAATACTGCGAACGAGAGCAGAGGGATCCAAGAGAAGCTCGAGAGATCGTGAGAGCTCTGAAATAACCGAGAGAAGAGCAAATCAATCTAATTAAGAAATTTCAATGTAGAAATATGAAATTACAAATCGATATACAATTAAAAATTACTATTGATGATCATTAATATTTTTAATCAAATATTTAGAGAATTACAAATTTGTAATTAAAATTTATATTGATATTAATTAATATCTTGTTACCTGGAAACGAAAATATCCTGACATTGTGAACATACAAACTGCCATCACTGACGCACTAATAAATAATAATAGCTTTCTACCGACGCGCTCAATCAAAACAGTTGAAAAATAGGTAGCAATCACTTGTACGACACCTATTATTACTGATGACGTAGATGAATTCAGAATTGAGCCCGCATCGTCGAAGATCTTTTTTGCGTAGAATATCAGAATGTTAACACCGGAGAGTTGTTGGAAAAACATTAGACCTGAAATCATTAAATATTGAATTAAAGCTAATATAATATATGTTTGTGTAACGTATCTAAACAAAATTAGATAAAGTTGATAAAATTAATAGAATAATTAGCTATTGCAATAAAAACATTAAGTAATCGATTTAATTCGCAACTAATTACTGATTAAACTAAATCTTTTACCGAGTATAATGCAGGTCGCTCTTTGATAATTCTTCAAATCCGAAATATTTGGTTCGATTTCTCGCATTTCTGAGGTCTGAAGCTCGAGCCTGGTCAATTCTGCTTCAGTGCCATAACGAATTCCCCTGAAGTGTTTTAGCACAATATTTGCCTCGTTCTTCTGACCTTGCATAACCAGCCACGCTGGTGATTCCGGTACGAATGGGAAGAAAATCAAAAGCAAAGCGGGCGCCACGGAACAAAGTATCGCGATGACATGCAAGCTATCAGTAAAAGCTGTAAACGTCACCGCTTATCATTTCAGGAAAGTTATACAGTCGTGTGTAACAACTAGAATTCTCGCAAGTTCATCTATCATCACAAACACCTTCAAACTATGTACAGTAAAGTTAAGTTCTTTATAATGACATCTTCCTTTAAAATGGAGTAAAAAATACTCGCTATATTTTCTTAAAAATTAACACAATATCATGACTTATTCCGAGCTATAAGTAAATTAACTTTAGATTAATATAATTAACAACAATTCTTCCTTTAATTCTCTGTGTCATTAGATAACTGATATTACATATTTAACAGCTATGTTTGCATATTGCAGCAAATTAAAACTGAAAAAAATCCTGTAAATATCCAACTAAATAATTTTTTATAAAGTTTTTTTATTATTAATGTTAATTATTTTACATCAATTTTGCTAATCAATATATTATTGATATAATAGAATATACATTCACACAGAAAACAATATACATTTTAATCAATGTGCCTCTAACTTTAATTGTAGATTTTAGATGCTTTCCAACGAAACACATAATGTCAACTTATAACTGAAACGTAGCTTTTTTATTTCATTGCCAGAGTGAAATAAGAACAAAGGTTTTGTAAACCTACGATCCGAATATATTTGAATATAATCTTAAAACCTCTTATCAGAGTATCATTTCTAAGAAAATAAATGGTAATAAAATGTAAAAATTTCGTAAAATAACGTAAAAGAATGACACAATCGAATACATATTTTAGTTACGTACGTTTGTATCAGTTAAAAAGCACGGAATTGTATATTGTGTTACATAATGTTGCTGGATTGAGTATTAATAACATGGCACATATAAAATTATCCAATATTATATTTAGAAAAGTGCTTCTTTACCAGTAGAATATGCGAAGAGAATTCCGGCAGTAATCTGCAATTGAAAAATGATGCCAGGGAAGCCTCTAATGTTCTGCTCGGCAATCTCAGAAGCGAACATGGGAACAACGACAGATGCTGCACCGCATGCTGCCCCCGCAACAAACCGAGCCAAGAAAATCCTTTTGACGGAAAAACTTGATTACGTAATGTAAATATAAAATCAATGGAACCGTACGATAAAGTCACTATCGCTGACTGGGAATGCAGTCAATGCAATTAATGGAAAAGTTCATGATAGCAGAGTTCGACGAAAGATTTCGTTTATTAATTGTTTAGACTTATTAATTTCTCTGCCATTCTTATAGAAATCTAATATCGACTAATTTATTACTGGAAGTAATTAATTACTTATTTGAAGTACTAAAAGTATTGAACAACAATTAAATATTTAATATTTAAGATAAATCTTTTAGTATTAAATTGATCAGTATTAAGGAAAGTAATTGAATAATTTTCCAGCTTAAAAAAGTAGAGTCATCTGACCTTTCTTATTTTTTAACACGAGAATACAAAGCATGCAAAATGCCATTGCTATCTTCTAAAAATTAAATAATTATTAGAATTTCAGCAATAATATTGTAACTTATTATTAAAAAATCTTTTTGTAATAAAAATAAATATTCATATGAAAAATATTGAAGAAAATCGTTTATAGGAATTATTTTAATTCAATTTAGAAATTAATAATTTTGATGGAAACAACGTTACCATGTTTTCATTAACGTAAAAATATGGCAACGTTATATTTAAAAATATGTGACATTATATTTAAAGAGACTTGAATAATTCATGAACACTTCATATTTTGCACGAAAATGATTATGGAAACTTAATTTTTTTAATTCCAAAATATTCTTAAACTCTATTCTTTTATATCTATGTAATTAAAATTCTTATATTTTGTTTACATATTTTACAATTAAATTACTTAAAACCTCCTTCTCATAGAAATTTGAGCTACTTTAAAAAATTATTCAAAGAAAATTGCACGATCCAAAAATTAAAAAAATACAAAAGCCTACATATTAACTATTTATTCTCAATATGTATTTGATTAAATCCTTAAATTATATGAAAAGATTAGAACATCTCTTTAAATTGGCTAGTAACATTAGATTTCTAGAGTAATTGAATCATTGTATAAATTAACGATTCATTGAAGATAAGAATTGGATATATATTATTTTTTATTTTGGTATAATATTTGGTATTTTCTGTTTACATGTCAGTGAAAAAAATGCGCACGTTAATATTTTACACGAGGCATTCTTTAAATCTTTTCCAATATAATATGTACAATTTCAAATATAATTCCAAATATGGGACAAGAATTTCATTATTATTATTACGAGAATGAAATACTGAATGAAATGCTGAAGTCAAACCGTATAATCTACAATGAATCCAAACAGAACACAAGTTATTGACAACATCAAAATAAATCCAAAATGATTATTAAAAGTTTTAATCATTTATGATTCATTTAATGTCATTTTGACTTATTATTCTATTTGGGAATCTTCTTACCATATCTTACCATATCTTACTCTGCACAAATCCGATAATATACCAACAAAGAAATAAAGGCACGGTCGTTATCCAAATCGTCTTCTTCCTACCAATCTTATCCGCAAATATTCCCGTCGGAATAACAGTTAGAATTGCACCGAGAGGGACCAAAGAAGAAATCCAGGAACCTTCCTGATCGCTGACAGACAGCGTATCGTTCGTGTTATAAAGTGGCAAGGCGGATGACGTCCATGATAAATATGTGCCAATCGAGAATGCGGCGAGTGTCGCTAAGCGGTAACAGAAAGTAAATGTCAGACACATTCATCTTGTAAAATTCCTCTTGAGAAATATTCTATTTGATCTGTGTCGCGAAATATTTTATCTTCGATAACATTCTGTTCTGAGAATTCTTTCTCTTCACGCTACTCTTGATATCTTCTGCTCAGAGATATCCCATAGGTACGCAGCGATGGGAACGCAAAGTTAAATTACAGTCAAGAGATGTCTATCGAGAGAGTTTTAACTAGAGAAACAAACTTTCGATTAAATTAAGAGACGCGAAAATTAATGCAGCAATCGCGTGTAATAGCTTTGAAATTTTTTTTCCAAAGTCGCTACGAAGCTCCCAGAGGCTACATAAATGAAGGTATATTTACACTGTTTTTTACCATTAAAATCTATCTGTCCTCTAAGCTCTCACGCTGGATTCCGTTTTTCAATTATCTATTAAATATTCATGTGTAAATGCAGTCGCATCTCAATATCATGTGAGTTCGCGAGAGGATTAAACGCCCACCCGCAAAACTCACCCACAAGCACGCCCATGTATTGCGCGCATTTCGAAATCGGTCGCTCACACGACGATCTCTCGTCACTCTGTGCAATTAAAATCATTGTGCATGCACGAGAATCGAGCGATCACTTTAGCCACTTAAAACACTGCGCAAAATCAAACGGTGCTCGCCATCGATACTCCGCACGTGTGCATGCCAATGCGACAGTTCAACGGTATTAAAAAGAAAACGTCATCCATCGAATACCGCAGATCGACTAATTCTAATACGCGTTCTTCTGCGGTAAGACTTTCTTATCAGCACCCGTACCGATATCGGCGATTCAGTTGTAACCCCAACGCTTACGTCATGGTCAGAGTCGAGTCTTATATCAAGTCAGAAGTAATCTACATACTATTATCTACAGTATTATATCTTCACCTCGACATTTTGCATCTCTCAGACTCAAGCAGCATTGTGTACGAATAAATTCATCTGTAGCTATTTACACTGCGTTTGTTGTTACTTTGGTGACGACGTTCGAAACGTCGCTTTTCAACGCGTCCACTTCTATTTTCATAACGCGCTCAGTTGAATCTAAATACGTAAGAAGTGTTGTTTCTCAAATTCAAGTATATATTATTTAATTTTGCGAGAACAGAAATACTGACACTTGATATTTCGATAATTCATCTCAGAACATGACTGAATCGTATAATAATATTAATAATAATAATAATAATAATAATAATATCATTATCAATAATTTGATTTATTATATGTAAAGATATCTTTATGAACGTAATTTTTACATGTTTAAAAAATTCATTAAAAGATATTTGAAATTCGAAGATACAATGAGAGATCAATTAAAGAGAAAACGTAAAAATAAATCATTTATTGAAATTTATTGAATTTATTGAAAATTGTGTATAGTTAAAATTTAATTTTTTAAATAAAATTTAATTTTCTTTTTAATTCTCTTATAAGAAAATAATTCATATTTTTAATTAAGATATACCATAGGTAATTATTCAGTTTAGTTACCGTATCTCAATGAAATCAATGAAAAAAATCAATGAAATTAGGCTTATTCGACGCGTTTTTGCATGAAACGAAAGAATCTGGCAGAAAAATGCGTCGCTCTACCCTGCGAACTGAGATTAAGTGTTAAAATTAACAATTATTGAGATTAGGAAATCTGAAAATAAGGTCTATTTTTAAGAACTATAATTGTACTATTTTTAAGAACTATAATTGTACTTCTATATGGATTTCGATTTTCCATGTAAAGCGACTCTCCTTCCCGACTCTCACCCCCTCCTCCCCTCCCTCTGCAAAGGGGACGCACACTTCTATAATTGTAGTTGTGAAGTTAGAAAATCTATCATGTAGACAGTGGAGTGTGTAGACTAGTGCTTATTGGTTCGGGGCGGTTACGTGGCTCTCGCGTAGAAGATTGTAAATCTATGTCATTTTGCATTAAAAAAACTTAGCCCTAACCCAACTCATTTTTTGATGCGAGATGGCCTTATTTCGCATGGAAGGTTGTAAGTTGTAAATCTATGTAGAACTTTGCTTCTTGAATATACAACTTTCCACGCGGAAAGTAAAAAATGAGTAAGGTTAGGGTTAGGTTTTTTTAACGTGAAACGACATGAATTTATAACTTTTTATACCTTTTATAACCACGCGAAAAAGGCCACCTCACATAAAAAAAAAAAAAATGAGTGAAAAATAACTTTGCATCGCGACAATTTGCAATATTTCGCGACAGTGACAGATTTCCTAACCTCAATAGTCGTCGACTTTAATGCTTAATATCTCGGTTCATAGGGCAGAGTGACACTTTTTTTGTTAGATTCTTTTGTTTCATGCAAAAATGCCTCGAATAAACTTAATTTTATTGATTTTTGAGGTATGGTAGGTAAACTGAATAATTACCAAGGTATAAATATTTAAAAATATTAAGTTATAAATAAGCACACATTAAGTTACAAGTATAAATAAATCTATTGCAATTATTTATTTGGTTTATTCATTTTATACAGAAATGATCGAGAGCGAATAAAGAAGAGTCAGGAGAATGTAAAGATAATAGTAAACTGCATTTTTCTTTTGTATTTACGTAATCAATGCAATCTACTAACAATCTTGAAAACATGACATCATTAATGCCTTTCAATCATACTAAAAATAATAAAAGAAAAATATTCACGAAACAAAAAATAATTTACTTAGTCGCGATTGAGATCGCGCAAAGTAAGCTTACTATTACAAAAAAAAATAAGAAGATACTCGAATACGAATCAAGTCCGTTCTTTCACACTTCCGCGAGAACAATCATTGAACAAACTCGAGAAGCATTCGTGTAATGTTTCCTCAAATTCCCGACACCGATACTTATTATGCGAGACGATACATTTGAAAAATCTTCGTTTTGTTTCTTTTATATCGCGAGTATTTATCAACAAAAGCAATCAAAAGCTATTATTTAACGACTTTTGATTGTTTTTATTAAATACACAAATATATATGAATTTATTTTATTTTTTTCATCCTTTTACCTCTTAATTGAAGTGAATTTTTTAATAATTTACAAAATTTACAAAAAATATATGCTGTTTCTTTTTAAAAAGCTTTAAAAAATTCAACAATATATTTTATTCTTTATTCTTCTATGAGATTGAGATCCGCTGACTAATTGGAAATTCAAGAAAGAAAATTGTATGCGGTATTATAATATTTGATACATCGCGCTTCGACGATGAACTCTTACGCCCCATGGGACATTTTCTACGGTGCCGACATGATTATCACTTCGCTTCGGGTAGATTAGTTGCCATGACTCTGAATCCATTGTGATCGGCGATGTAATGCACCTGCTGAAGAATTCCATTGGGATCGATGTAACTATAAGCTCCCCTAGTGGTACCGTCAAGCGACCTGGATTCGGTTTTGGCGCTCGAGTCCCCGGTATAACTGTAATCGTATTGGCCCAGAGAGTCCTGGGTGTGATGCAGCGAGCTGTGAAGGAATTTGTAAGGCACTGGAAATACATAAGGTGCAGGCAAGGCTACCCGTTTCTGGATGTTGGAGAGCGGCAGCAGCTTTCCCAGATGTAAAGCGTTCTGATTAGATGTTCGTTCATCATCCTTGAGAAGCGTGTTCTCCCTTAATGATGTCGTAATAGGTAATGACGAAGCAATGGTGGTGGGCCCCGAAGAAGTGGGCGATACCTTCGAGAGACTCGGATCTGGCTTGGGAACATTGATTCTCTCTGCCTCTGATCTTGACAACAAGAATGGATTGTTGATAACCTAAAAAAGAAGAATCGAATAAAAGAAATATGGACATAGAATATGAAAAGAACTATTTACTAAAATTTATTTATTTTAATATTAAATAGATATGAATTTATTTGGAACATGAATTGGAATATTATTCTAAATATCATTTTATAATATTAGTTTTAATTACTTTATACAATATGTTACATTTTATTAATCCATTAAAGTTCATGCTAATACAACCGTGATAACGCCTGAATACGTGATTCATAGCATAAATGAAAAAAAAAATAATTCGTATTTTTTCGTTTTGCAAAATTGATTGAAACGATAATTGTTTAAACAAATTATTTAAAAACTAAAAGTGCCATTTGATTCTACGTTTGAAAACAAGGAACTTTTATTCTTGGTATTTTTTCGAAAAATTATTATAAACATTTTAAGGTGGCTTATGTCCCTCGTCTCTCACTGAACTCGGGGTGCTTTTTTAAGTGAATCTTAAAAATCACCTCGAGTTTAGTGAGAGGTAAGAGAAGTAGACAGAAGCTCAAAATGAGAGGAAAAACGAGTCAAAACCAGAAAATCAAAAAACAATATGCAATACCAGAGCATGGGAAGCCGACTGCACATGTAAACCATTTACAACAATTTTTTTGCATAAACAAAGCACCAGCTCGAAAAAATATCAAAAATAAAAGTTTCTTGTTTTCAAACATAGAATCGAATAGCACTTTTAGATTAAAAAAAATGGACATTTTTAAACAATTTGTTTAAACAATTATCGTTTAAACAATCAATTTTGCGAACGAAAAAACGAAAAAATACGAGTAATTTTTTTTCGCTTATGCTATGAATCACGTATTTACTTTGGCGTTATCACGTATTAAACGCTATATTAAATATGAGCCTTAATGGATTAATCACAATTTACATTTTTAGCGATCAATAGAATTTTTGTGTTGTTATAAAATAATATAGAGAAAAACTGTATACATATATTTTTTATTATTTATTTTACTTTGTTGTTATATTGCTTTATGTTTTTATGTTATTTTTTATTTATTTTATTTGTAATAATAAATTTTATATTTTTATCGAAATTCTTTTATTAAACAAAAAATTCCACAGCGATTGCAGTGCTATAAATTCGTATAAAAGTACGTAGATTTTTCCTTTTTACTGTCAAGTTCCTTTTATATTCGAGCAAACTTCGATTGAGATGTTGGCGCATCATACACACCTCTATTTCTCGCGTTTTCGAATTCAGCTCGGCTTTGCTGTTGTCGTCCGGCTGGATTTGGGCGAAGCTGAAGTACGATGGTAGAATTTTGTACGACAGAAGATTCTGATCTTGCCAATTGGTCTGATGCGACTTCTGCAATTCTTCAAGATGATTTTTCTTCGCCGCGGCCACTTCTGGTGTGTCCTGTATAGTTTGCAATTCATCCCTTGGTGGTTGCGGCAGATTGCTCGCGCTGACTCTAAATCCATTCTTATCATCCGCCGTATACGAGACCGTTTGCAAAACTCCATTTGCGTCAATGTAGGAATATCCTAAAGGCACAAATAGAAATGATACTCATCGACGATAAATACTATTACATCTGGAAAACGTTTGTTCATTTAAGAATCTATTTACGATTTAATCTTTTACGATCTACTGTTATTATATATGTTATTTGCCATAATTATTGTGATTATTGCTTTAGTAAAATAGCATTAATTATGTAAATCTTGTTTCAGTGATTACGTAGATATTCACACAATTTCGCGCGCGTTACATTATGCATCCACATATCGTGAGTCATCACATTGCAATCGAGAGAGAAGCGATCTTAACTCGCAACTGCACATTGTCATCCGAAGAAATTCGCAGGGAACATGCGGCGTATGGGCGTCTTTCTTACGTCATGCTGATGAGCGTTAGCGAAAGAGTCACTCGCGAACGTAGGCCGGTAATACACCTCTTGTAACACACTTCGCAAAAGAATGCATTCCATTTATGCACTTGCCGCACGCGCATCAGATCACGAATCGTGACAAGCTTTGTCATCCATTGAGAATAAATTTCGTTTTATGTTTAAAATATATATAAAAAGAAAGCCAATCAGAACCAGTTGTTCGAGTGTAAATAAAAAGACACAAATGTCTTTATTCTCATGTAAGTAACAATAACAAAATCATAACCAAAATCATAACTTTAATTTTTGAATAGACTTATTTATGTAATTTAGAATTAGATTTCATATAGATAAGAACAAAAAGAAGAATTAAAACGTTTATTGTTCACACGAGATAAAGACATATTTATGTGCACCCAAACAGTTAGTTTTGGCTCTGATTGGCTTTTTTTATATATTTTTTTTATATATTTTTTTTATATTTTTTTTTTTATATATTTTTATATATTTTTTATGGATTGATTTGTACGAGCCTCTTTTCATTAGTTTGTTTTTTACATTAACGTAGAGCATCTCAGCTTTGAGATTGGTCTCGATAAAGAACTCTTTTATTAAAATGCCAAAGTGTGTAAATTTGTAAATTTTAAAAAACTCACCACCCTGCGTGACGCCATTTAAGGTAGTTTCCGCTTTGGCGTGATGTGGCCCCGTGAAAGAATATTGATAAGATCCCGATCCATCTTGTATGTGGTACTGTCTTAACGGCGAAAGGGCTGGTATCGGACTTAGCCAAACATTAGCGAGCGGCGAAGCGATGGATCGTCCGATGACGAAGCTGCACAAAATTGTCTGCAGAAGAATATGACAATTATTTCATTATCTATAACATCATTAAATTATTATCGGCGTATTAACGCTAAGCATGCAATCAAAAATATGATAAATCTGCAAAAAATTGTCATTAGTGAAGACTTAGTAAATGTTTATATCGATTATCGGCACACCATGGTATACATCGTGAAACATGATTATTAATAAAATCCTCCTATGGTGATTATCTCAATATTTATTGTAAATAAAAATGTACTAATTTTCATTAATTTAAAGTACCGAGTAATTTAATTTACAATTATATTGTGATAGAAATTATCAAATTATATTGTGTGATAGAAAAATATAAAAAATCTATTGCTCGAATTAAAACTGTAACATGCAACATTAGTTTGTTAAGGTTATAATATTCCAAACAGAAATTCTATTTATTAAGAAGTTAGTTCATGCTAAGCAACAATTTATCTTAAGAGCTTCCATTCTGCAAAATGAGATGCGTCTCGTCACCGAACAGCTTATTAACCTATTAATGAAACAGTACATCAGTTGCAACAGCTATGCTGTAGACAGCATATAACTGTCATTATACAGGTATAATTTTCTACACAAGATATTGCTATTATATAGGGAGATACATGCGATAACATTAGTTGTGACAGTTACGGGAGAAGACTACCCCTTCACCTTTTCTCGATAAGCATATAACTCATCGATCGCGGAAGTTCATCTCGATACACGGCTTCCCCGAATAATCGAATTGCATTTGTTATGATGTTTTTCCGCGAAACAAAGCCATATTCCTCCAATTGCGACATATCCAGGACTTCGACCGCCAGTGAGCAACCACAATTGTGTATTGCGGTTTCTGTTAAATCAATAGTTATTACCGGAAAATAGCGAGTTAGCCAATGCTCGCGTTGAAATGATACTACGGAAGCAATTATTGTCATATTAATGTGAATTCTGCTTCAAAATATACTCAGTTAATTATAAAATTGATACATAAAATGTATCAGGCGTCCGTTTTTCCTTGGAAGATTTTTGCAGTTCATGCTGGATACATAGTAAATTGAATTGTATAAAACTTTCATTTCATCTCAGTTCTTTGTCGCGATATAAAACGAGAAAAGTTTATTCTTCTATCACGAAAGCAGAATTAAATTAGAGACGCTCACGGGAGCAAGATACTTCAAATTGTCTTGGGATTAATTACAAGTTGGTCAAAGGAGATGTAAGTAAAATTATCCTGGATACAAAGCTAAATATGAATTATACTTAATCATTGATCACACTGAAAAAAAAAATATAGTCAATTTTAATAAATATTTAGTTGAATACTGCCAACTAAATATTTATTAAATATAAAGATAAATTTATTTGATAAAAGAAATGTTTTTAATAAAAGAAATTTGATTTAACAATCATTTTTTTTATTGAACAAATATTTACTTACTGTAAGTAAATGTTCAGTTGGCAGTATTAAACTATAAATATTTATTAAAATTAACTATATTTTTTTCTCAATGCACGTTTAATTATTTGGCGAGCATAAAAATTCAGTGTGCAATCTAACTTTTTTGTTAATGCATGAATACATGTCGAATTTTAAACGATAAAAACTTTTTTATTTTTGTGTGAATTTCGTGAAGTCTCAAAAATTCTACCTTTAAACAATAAAGAACAGTTTTGCACAAATTTTTTTCACTTTTATATTTTTACTGAGAATCTTATAAAACATTGAAAAAAGAGTCTGGTTATTAAATATTGAGTAAAATAATTTCAATTAAATATTCGGTTAATATAAATAAAAAAATAATTTTATTTTTCTAAACATTTAATAATAATTATCAAACATTAATTGATTACATTATTATATTTGATAATATTTATTAAATATTTAAAAAAATAAAAATGTTTTTTGTTATATTAACTAAACATTTGATTGAAATTTATTTAACATTTGATAGCTATTATCAGTTTTTTTTTCAATATTCAGTGTATGGTGAAAAGGGTTAAAAAATCATACATTGATAGAAGAGTTAAATTACTCAAAAGAAATTTAAGAAAGGATTCACTCACGAATATCATGATCGTTTTCGATTGGATGAGGCCGCCGGTAAACCGTCGCTCGATCGTGGCTAGCGGATCGGGGCCCCTCGATCACGGTTTTTCTTTTTCGCTCGCCTAGGATAATCCCAGTAAGAGTCAGCTAACGGGTGTGAGAATGTAAGCTCTCAGTCGCATCCTCTTATATAGGATCACGTAGACCTGCCGCCGCGCGCTTACGGTGGTTCCCCACCAAGTATCGCGCGCGACGAGGCCCTAGCGAGGCCCTACAGGGCACAGGATCGTACTCATGGAGTCCCAAGTGCCTGTTTGTTGCCCACGGCCGCAAATCACCCGGCGCTCGATTTCCACGCCGATAAATCAACGTTTATTGGTCTCGAGTACGAGCCGTCGATCTTGCGCGCATTCCGGGCTCTGATCATGTCCAGACACTCCAGACCGAGGATGCCCACTCTCCGCGCCCCAAGTAATAAGGATATGTGCACGCAAAAGGCGCGAACGTAATAATGACGACGCCGCGCAACAAAAAGTTATTTATGCAGGCTGGATTTTAAATGTCCTCGCAGCGGGTGTCAAATAGACTTTATTTGTCGCCTGTTAATATCACTTGAATAGATATCACTCATTTACTACAATAACGACATAATTCAAAAATTGTCATTTAAGTTGCTCGAAGATAAAGAAACGTAAAAAGAAAAAGGAACATTAACTTTAAAAATCATATTTTTATTTCTCTGTAATCGATTATTACCATCAAAATTATATTTCAAAATTAATGTTACAAAATATTAATTATTCAAAACATTTAAATTTTCTAAAAATTTTTTTGTTATATTATTGTTATACACAATTGGAAAATTTGTGTTAAATTTAATATTTTTTATTCTTGTATTTTAAATTTAATATGTTTTACATGTCTCGAACGGTCTACTCAAAGTTTTGTGTTAAATTGATATTCAAGAATAAATATGTTAGAAAATAACAAAAATATTTATTAAATATAATATTTTAAAAATTAACACAAAAAAAACGTAATATAATTTGTAAGCAATCACATTTTTTCATTAAAATTAATTACATTTACAATGTATTAGATTAACACATTTTATTCACTTAGAATTATTCTCTTAAAATTTTCATTTTAAAAAACATTATTTTATGTTAATCACTTGCTCATAAATTGTGTTATTTTGACAGTAAAAATGTTGAATAAATTTAACACAAAATATTCAAATAACTCAATCATATTACATTAAATTGACAGATATATTAAAAATTTGACACAAAATTTTAAAAAGAATTTAAGTGGGTCATTTCTAATACAAATACAAAGTGATTTTATTTAAGTCAAATGAAAGATATATAAATTATTTTATGATGAGATTAATATCTAATTATTATCCAAAAATCTCTTCGAAACTAATTTTTTATAATAAAAAGGAATTAATATATAGAGATTTTCCTGCGTAAGAATTATCTATACTAATGAATATAACATTGCCATCCTGAAAAAATTTACCAGACTTTCCTAAACTGGTTTTTTATTATTTAGGAATGTTATTTAGGATTTCATTGAAATGATTGCTTGATTGCTGCTGATAATGCATTAAATCCATTTAATAGTTTATTATCATTATTAATAATACCTCGTTACTTGTAATCAAAGCGCGTAATTAATGCGGTCTCTCACACGCGTAATCTTCTCATTATCTTTAAATTGCATTATTATTAGTTACGACACATTCATCAACAATCGAAATAAGCTGTATCATAAATGCCGGAACAACCAGCGTGCGTGCTATTATGAACTGCATAATGATATTAGAGAGTAAATGACGGACGGAAAAAATGATTTCGCACATACCAATATGGCTCTTGAACAATGTTACAAGATAAACGGAGTTAAGATACATTTCCCGAGATAAGCAAGTCATTTTCTCTTCAAATTAAGTATATTCAAATTTCAAATTTTCTTATATTTAAATTTACCTGATTTGCTCGAAATTGAATAATAATTAATTGACAATTATTAGTCGAAATTATTAATAGATCGTATTAATAGATCGTATATTCCTTAAAAAATTACTTTTATTTGCAAAAAAAAACCGACAAATAATCTGATAATTTCTCACGTATCTCAACTATATTGAAATAGACGAAAAGCTTTGGAAAATACAGGGAGAGTAGGCCCTATCAGAATTTTATAAATTCAACAGCATCTAATGCAATTTTCGCGTCGTGCATAAAGTGAAGCATGCCTTCGGCAACGCGAAGCAAGATTACGCGCGTCAAGGGATCGAAGCAACGTTCGCTTGATCCTCAACAAAAATCGTCAGCGGCACGAGCCTCGGTAACAGAAACGAAAATAAAATTAAAAAAAAATAGAAACGAACGCGAAATGCAATTAGCGAGCGGTGAAAATGAAACGATACCGGCACAGCGAAAGGTTCGTATCCTTTTAGGGAAGGTCCGGGACGGCCGCGGGGCCTCCAGCGTCTCTCCGAGCCGCCGATCGCATAAATAATGCCTGCCGCGGATTTACGACCGACTCGCTTAATCCGACGATGTAAGAGAACGATATGAGCGTAATGAGTTCATCAATTTCGATGGAATTACTCATGTGCCCGTGCAACAAGTCGCCGCCAACAGGAGAGGGCTCTCTCGTCGGCGACACGCGGACACGTGGGCGATGCTGCGTTGGTTTTGACATTGGCACTAAACGGGCTCTCTTTCTCTCTTTTTCTCTCTCTTTCTCTTTCGTCTCGCATTAAATGACTCTCGTAGAGCCGACTATCTAACCACGCGGCACCAATGCGATGCAATGCGATGCCGCTGAGAAATGCATCGAGAAGGTACCGCGTACGGCGGTGATCCTAAATCAACCTCCCTCCCCCAGGAACAAAAACAATAGCAACTATCAATTCCCTTGGTATGTAATGGGAAGAAATGAGAGGAATGCAATATTAAAACAGTCTAAAATATCAAATTATATTAATCCCTTCAGATCTAATTTTAATGGAACTACTGTTAAAATTTTTTTTTATTCATTTTAAGAATGCTTTAATAAATAATTTATACTAAAAAGTTAACTTTTTTCAAAAGTTTGATTATTTTTCCAACATATATATTATTATGTATATCTTGTTTAAGATAATGTCGATAAAACTAAACAATTTCAATGAATAATATCTTCAAATTGATGTATATTGCAAAACATAGGATCTAAAGGAATCGCATTTTTTGTGCGGGAATAAGTTAGAGACAATATATTCAAATTTTCTTGCAAAAATTTCTCATAAAATTGTAAACAATACTGACAAAGTGTTATTAATATACGCGTCATTAATAATGTTTATTAATCGTTGGTTTCTTTTAATTAAATATATTTTCCAAATATATTTTCTTCGCATTTTCAGATTTTTCCTTTTTAAGATTTTACAGAAAATACACTTAAAAAAGATAACATTCACAAAATCCTTAAAATAAAATTAATTATAATTTATTGTACATAATTATATATTACATTATTATATAATATATTTATATAAACACATAATTATTATATAATCATATACATATAAATATCATTTCTTTCTTCTATAGCTTCTGTTCGAGCTATTTGAAGACGTGAGCATCACGATCGGCTCTCACGGTTCCGGAATTTATCTTCACGTATTACTGTCCACTTCCTCAGAGCTGGAAACGTTTTCGCTGCCGACGTAAATTTCCCATCGTCAGAGAGGATTTCAATATATGCACGAGGCAACTAATCCGCGTGACGTTAATCACAGCTGGAATTCTCGCAGTCTAATTATCGCAGGCTTATTCCTGCTTCGAGGAGAACGAACGTTCGTACGAATCCTCGCTCAGTTGGTCGCGCATGACGTTTATTACAGCTCGTATTCCGCTCGTAAAACTCTCCTTCCGGAATAATACAATCGAAGATCGTCGGTTACAATTTTTTTCAGCTTGTCGTTGCAAAAGACGTGATATTAGAATATTTGCAACTCGGAACGACGACTGCCAATGCGACTTATTGATTGAATTGGTGCGGCAAACAAGATAGCATCCTAAAGAAAAATCTGCAACTCGGAATTGTACATCGCGATCTCGTAAAAATTGCATCTAAATAATGCCTTGTGATGTAATAAAGCAAAACAATTGACCGATAGAAACCGTACATGTTCGTAAAGCGACGGAAATGGAGTTGCAAGATGATTCACACAATATAGTTTTCCTAAGGGATATTTTAAGGATGTCCGGAGGACGATTACATCCTAAGGACGTCCCTAGGATGCTTCACGAGCAACTGTGTTGTGTGGGCATTTTACCCACGGAATAAAGCCGTTGTAACTTTGCGTTGAGTATTATAATGCAATGTATTTTATTGTGATTGTAAATATAGCATGATTGCTCATTTCATAGAGATATGTAAAGAGATATGTAAACGTTCAAAATTAGAAACACTGCTTTTAAGAATATATTTTAGAATTTAGATATAGCAAAAGTGGATTTGGAAATATATATATATTTTTTGTAAAAAATAAAAATGAATATTATGTATCTTTTAAATTTTTCTTTGGAATTTCAAAAATTTTAAATTAAAATCTCACTTTTTAAAGTGAAAAATGAATTAATCTTGAAAAAGAGTGGTTCAATTTCCAATCTTTAAAAGAGATTTTAATTTAAAATTTTTGCAGAGTACATATAAAACAGTTCAATATAGTCAATATTTATATTTAACAACATAATTTCATGAAAATTTTCTCTTTAATCTTAATTTTTAATTATTTTACATTTACTTTTTATTGAAATAACTTTTTATTCAGGTTTTAATCGGCGCCAAATTTTTTGTTATTATTTTCAAATAAAATATAGAAAAATTTGAAATTTTTTCATGTTTTTCTATATTTTATTTGAAAATTTTTTTATTTGAAATTTTTTTTTATTTTGTTATAAAATATGTGTGATATATTCTTGAATAAATTATTCTCTAAAAATATACAAAAAAATTTTTATCTTATTAGCTTTCTATCATGCATGTATATTTTCTCGTAATGTTTTAATACTTTATCACATTGATTTCAAAATAATGATGCTACTATGTTTTTTACGAGCAATTTAAAAGTAGTAA